CTTGAGGAGAACCCCAAGAGCTGGAGGTCGGGCAGAGCTCCTGCAGGAGGTGAGCAGCAACCCTGGGGTGTGGGGGACACAGGGACACCCCAACATGGCCCAGGCTCCAGCTCCAGCCTGGGTTCCCTCCAGGGATCCAGTCAGGAATTAGGGGGGGGAAGACATCAGGACAACCTGGAGCCCCACCTTGGGTAGCTGGAGTCTTGGAGCATCTTGGGATGGATGTTGGGAAGAGCTGGTGGTGGAACCACCCAACTGGGCTGCCCCCAGTCCTGGCTCCTGGGTGGGTTTTGTGGCAGGGCTCAGCACCAACCTGCTGCCCCCCAACTGGGCAGGGCTCAGGTCACCCCCTCAGAGCCAAGGGATCGTTCATGGTTGGAAAGGACCTTCAAGAACATCCAGTCCAACCATCCCCCCAGCACTAAGTCCCCACTGCCCCGTGTCCCTCACCCCACATCTCCATGGCTTGGGAACCCCTCCAGGGGGGGGGACTCCACCACTGCCCTGGGTCAACGTCTCACCCCTTTTGGCAGGGAAGAACTTCCTCATATCCACCAGAAATCCCCCCCCAGGGGTGGACTGTCCCACCATGGGGGTGAAGTCCAGGCTGCCCAGCTACGAGCTGGGGCTCTACGCCCTGGTGGTGACCTGCGCCGTGGGGTACAGCGGCACTGGCATCTTCCAGGCCTCCAGAGGTACCGGTCCCACCTCATCCCCACCCCCGGGGGGGGCTCTGGGAGGGGTGGGGGGGGACAGGTGTCTGCTTCTAGACCTCCAGACACCACCAGCACGTCCCTGCCTTGAGGTTTTGCAGAGCACAGCAATAGTTCAGGGAAAGGATTCTCGCCTGGTTGCCCCCTCATGGCCATCTCCCATGGGAAGAGGCGGGGGGATGGCATAGCACCATAGAATCCTTTAGGTTGGAAGGGACCTCCAAGATCATCAAGTCCAACCATTGAGCCATTAGGGCTCTCAAGTCCTCTGCTCAAACAGATCAGAATCTGTCAGGGTTGGAAGGGACCCCAAGGATCCCCCAG